GGACTTTATTATTAATAATATAATTAAATGTAACAGTTTATGAACACTTTCGCAAAAAACATTATTTTTTTGAATAGAAACATTGTATCATTCCTACAACAAGTCAAATGTGGAAATATGTGTATAGTTACTGGATTTTTTATTCCATTCTATTAATCGATTTTCTTTTTATATTACATTATATAGCATCCTTTATTACGGACAAATTAAAAAAAAATTTTAATCTTTTATATGAAATAAAAGTTATATATATAAAATTTATTCTCATCTAATATTACAAGCGCGTTATGTTTTTTCTCCATTTAATTAAAATAAATTTATTAATATATAAATTGAAAAATATTTGACAGAAGGGTAGTGAAAAAAAATACCTAATATATCGTTCTAAAACATGTTTTTATTAAAGTCATGTTTGAATGTTGTATTTCTATCACTAATTTTTATGTTTCTTTTTTTAGAAAGAGCAAACATCGGTCTCGTTCCCGTTCACGATCTCGCGATCGTCGAGATAAAGACCGCCGTGATCGTGACAGAGACAGGGACAGGGACAGGGATAGGGATAGAGACAGGGATAGAGACAGGGATCGCGAAAGAGACCGGGATAGAGATCGTGATCGCGATCGCGAACGCAGACGAAGATCGCGATCGAGAGATCGACGTGATCGTGACAGAGACAGAGATGGAGATAGAGACCGAGATCGAAGAGACAGAGATAGAAGAAGAAAAAGATCTCTTACACCAATTACTTTACCCAGGGCTCGACCTCCTTTTGGTAAAGGTGTTAGTCCTCTTGGAATGTAAGTATATAATTATACTCATTTAGAATAGATATATATTAGATTGTCCGGGTAAGTTCGTGCCGATTTTGTCATTACGTTATCTACCACAAATCGGCACGAACTTTCCGGACAACCTAATATTTCCGTATATAGTATGTATACAAATATTTCTTTACAATTATTAAATAACTATATCTACTTAGATATCTGAAAAAAGTAAATTCGGAAAGAAATTCTCGAAATTCGGAATTTTTTTTCAAAAACAATTATTATAGAAATGAAATGAAATTTTTTATTTGAAACTACTTTGAGTTCTCGATTCATTACTATCAATCGTTCTTGAAGATAAAAAATTCATATATCGACTTGTATGTAGTCTCTTAAGAGAGAAATAAAGTACGATTATTTGATAGAATACTGCTTTCTGTTTTAGCAGAAACGATGAGTTGACGCCTGAAGAACGAGATGCCCGTACAGTATTCTGTATGCAACTTAGTCAACGAATACGTGCACGTGACTTGGAAGAATTTTTCTCTAGTGTTGGGAAAGTTCAAGATGTCAGACTCATTACATGTAACAAAACGAGAAGATTCAAAGGGATTGCGTATGTTGAATTCAAAGATCCTGAGAGCGTTACACTCGTAAGTTGTTTTTTTTAGATAGTCCTGTTAAATTCTTTTTTATTTGATTTGATCGTTTAATGTTTAGAATATTTTCTATTTTGTTTATTTAGGCGCTTGGATTATCAGGCCAAAAGTTACTTGGTGTTCCTATAGTAGTACAGCATACTCAAGCAGAGAAGAATCGCATGGGTAATTCTATGCCAAATTTAATGCCTAAAGGGCAGACAGGACCTATGAGATTGTATGTAGGTTCTCTTCATTTTAATATCACCGAAGAAATGCTTCGTGGTATTTTTGAACCATTCGGAAAAATTGATAATATCCAATTAATTATGGATCCTGAAACTGGTAGAAGTAAAGGTTATGGCTTTTTGACAGTAAGTTTGTGTGTACACAATTGTATAATAAATTTATATCAATTTTTATTAATTAACTATTATAAATATATTTACAGTTCAGGAATGCAGATGATGCTAAGAAAGCCTTAGAACAATTAAATGGTTTTGAATTAGCTGGTAGACCAATGAAAGTTGGAAATGTTACGGAACGTACAGATTTAATACAGGGTCCTTCACTTTTAGATACAGATGAATTGGATCGAAGTGGTATTGACCTTGGTGCAACTGGCAGGTAAATATATATATATGCATTTAGAATTGAATAAATTTAATTACATTATTTTATCTCATTATTTTCATAAGTATGTATATACGTTTAATTATATTATCCAATATTTGTTTTGCAGATTACAATTGATGTTCAAATTGGCCGAAGGTACGGGTCTTGAGATTCCTCCCGCAGCAGCAAATGCTTTAAATATGGCACCTGTAATCTCTGCTCCACCACCACCACCACAAGCTGCCCCACCAATTGCGACACAGTGTTTCATGCTTTCAAATATGTTTGATCCTCAAAAGTAAGTATATAAGTTTAAGTACAAGTATAAAGTAACTTAACGAAGTTTAGTAATCCCATGAAGCATATATAAGTAGATCCAGTGCAAGCATTTGTTCTTTTACTGGAGGAACAAATATGCGAAATAAAATAGTAATACCATTTTTTATATCGCTACATAAATATAACACATGTCAGTGGAAGAATGGTAATTGAACATTAAAACGATTATATGAATATGAATGTCTCTATATAATTTTTAAAATATTGTATGTAAAAAGAAAAAAAAGAAAACCAGAAAGAAATGCCTAATGTAATATGATTCTATTATAGCGAAACAAATCCAAATTGGGCAAAAGAAATACGTGATGATGTAATAGAAGAATGCAATAAGCATGGCGGTGTATTACACGTATATGTGGATCAAGCGTCTCCACAAGGAAATGTTTATGTCAAATGTCCATCAATAGCAACGGCAGTTGCTGCAGTCAATTCATTACATGGTCGATGGTTTGCTGGTCGAGTTATAACCGCTGCTTATGTACCAGTTGTAAATTATCATTCTCTCTTCCCAGATGCTATGACTGCTATTCAATTATTGGTCCCAACCGCACCTCGACGAGGAATATGATCTCAAATGAATCAGACCATTTAAAATGTTGTACATTTTTTGTAGCATTACAATGATTGTGCTGGTATTCTCCTTTTCCTCTTTCCCTTAAAAAAAGAAAAAAAAGAAAACAAACAAACAAAAACAAAAAATGTTTTTTAATATTCTTAAGTATATTAAATTAAGTATCATTTGTGTTTAATTGTATAATATTTTTGTGCACAACTATTTCTCATATTTTAGAAAATCACAATATATAAGGGCCCTTTTCTTCATTTATTCTCTTTATTTTGTTACTAGCAGCAGCTGTGTACAGAGTAATAGGATCTTATACAAAACTTGTACGTATTATTGCGTTAATCTGGAAATATAGCATTTAAATTTAAAACTCAACACAATGTGACGTTGTATAACACCAATTGTCTCACCATATTACGCCCCGATGATAACAGATTAGTTAGAAAAATTATAAAAAAAAAAGTTAGTAAAAGCGATAAACATAATTGATGTATAGTATTCTGGTTAAAAGTTTATGGAAGCACAATGTGATTGTAGAACAACATTTTTGGAGATTTTAAAAGTATGTCAATTGTGTGAATAATTATATATAATAATATATGTGTGTGTCTAGTGCGTGTATATGTATACACACACATATATATTCTTGATGAAGAATAATTGGATACAGACTTAAAAAAAAAGTGAAGTAAGTTATTGGAAAAATTTATAAGAAATATATTGTATTAAGAATTTATAGTGAAAAAATCTGCCTTTACGAGATTGCGCGTTCGCAATTTTTATATGACCAACTAAAATAGAAAAAATAGAATAAATACTCTCTATACATGGTACAATTCTATATGGATATCTATAAATGTAAAAAAAGACATGCAATATATTTTAAAAGTATAAAACTAATATTTTATCGTTCATATTATAATCATAAATTGATTATATTTAATACATTCTTTTTAGATTTGCTTATAAAATACATTTTGATACATTATTATTAAACTATGTATTAATACGATTATTTAAAGAAATTATCTTTAAACATAATTATTAAATCACATTCAACTGTTAATAAAACTTCTTTTTATTCGGTAGATATATTTAAATTTGATAATAGAAAAGATATTTTTAAATATATCGTGATACAATATAATTATTTGTGTTTATATTCAATCATTACTAAATTTATCATATAAATACCATAATATCATATAAATATCATGTATTAAACAGTGAGTTCTGTTTAAATTAGATAAGTTAATATTAAAGACTACTTATTTTTGTGATACAGTTACACCAAAACTATATGACTTAACTCATGTAAATATGTAATAACCAAAGTATTTGGCTCATTAAGGTCACACTTTAAAATGTTACAAAATTTTTACAAATAATCGATTACCATTTTTATTTCATGAAAATACTCTTTTTTGTTTTGGTTGTATGAATATAAAATACATATATACATCGTGTTAACATGTGATAGAAAACAATATTTTTTGAATGTATCAACAATTTGAAGTATAAAAACTTTATATAAAATACGAAGAAATAATCCATTTAGAAATTTTATTATACATATTACTTTTATCAATCTTTTTTATTTATTTGTTTTCTATATCCTTATAAGTAAAGATAATCGTTTTGTTCAACGAATAAGATATTATAAGGTAATCACTTTTGCATTATAATTATATATTATTAATTATATTTAAATAATTTAGAATTATGATCGAATAATGAAAAACATCTATTTTTTTAATTTTATTTTAAAGGGTTTATTAATACGTATCATTTATTTCTGTTTTATAAAAAAATCTGTAAGTTTCGATACTTTATTTATGCTACAAAAAGCAATTTAGTAGTTATAAAAAAAATATATTTGAAATTATCATCATAAAATCATAATCCCAGTAATATACAGGCAGAGGTTTAGAACGGAAAAAACTGCGGAGAGAACATACTCTTTTTGTGTATTAGATGTTTTTTAAATTTTTTATCGATAACATTTTTTTTTCTAAATATTTTTATTTAGATTTGATTTATAATTAAACGATGCCGAAGTTGTAACTTTTATATAATTTTTGATTATTTATTTTAAAATTTACAATTTGAAGTTTACAATCTATATAAATTATACATCTTTTAAACTTGGCGCGAACGAAATTGACGCGAACGAAGTAGTGACTGTACTTACACTTCCATTGCGTGATACAAAATGCTTACTTCTTATTTAATCTTCTTATCAAATTTTACTTTAAGATCATAATAAATAGAATTCCAGATACTATTAAATTCTAAAAAGAATATTTCAAATGAGAATAAAGACTATAATGTGTTATTATGTGTTATTTATAATTATCATATGCTTTTAATCATACACATATATTTACATGTATACATACATAATAGAAGAACAAGTTCCAAAATACTTTGTAATTTTTATGGGTTATTTGTTTAAGGTACTACGCTTATTTTTGGATAATATAATTTTTTAAATATCATTTATGTTATATTAATGATATTATATAATACTGTTTTTTTATTAGTAAATTGTTTAGATACCTATGTAATTACATATTTTTTTAAAAAGTTCTATTACTTCATTACAGCAACAATGCCTGGAGAACAATTCTCTTTAATATGGAATAGTTTTTCGAGAAATTTATCTTCCAGTTTATATACTTTATTAATTGATGAACAACTTGTTGATGTAACTTTAATAGCTGAAGGCAAAATTTTAAGAGCACATAAGTTGATATTATCAGTTTGTAGTACTTATTTTAATAGGCTTTTTAAGGTATATCATTATTGTAGAAATATTTATAAAAAAATCTTTTTTGATTACTATTTATAGCTTCTTAGATATTCATAATAATTAATTTGTGCTATAGGAAAATTCTTATAAACACCCAATTGTAATACTAAAAGATGTCAATTATCATGATTTATCTGCTATGCTTCAATTCATATATCAAGGCGAAGTTAATATTAAACAAGAGGATATTGGCAATTTTTTAAAAGTAGCAGAAATATTGCAGATAAAAGGATTAACCACAGAAAGAGATGAGGTATGTTATTTTGATTAAACATTACAGCAATAAATTTATTGTTCTTTGGTTTTAGAAAAAAGACAAAATATTGGATAATAATATCCAAGAAATGGATTGTTATTTTGATATAAAAACAGATAGAGAAAATCATCTTACTTCCATAGAAGATATTTATCAGTGTGAGAAATTAACAGAATCTTTGAAATGTAAACTGGTACAAAAAGAAAATACAGTTCTTCCTTCAGATTCTGTAATGAAGGGTTTCAATATTATGGAAAGAAATATATCAAATGAAATTCCTTATACTACAAAATTAGTTTCTCATACAGACTATAGTCCACAAAGAACATTATTTATTGAAACGTATAAAAATATTGACACTCAGACTACAAAGGAACCATTTGATTGTACTTCTGACATAAATCACACAAAAAAAATACAATATAAATCCTCAAATTATATAAATGATATGGATTTAAAAGCAATGTATAAATCACAAATGTTAAATAAAGTATTTTGTAATATTGAGAATATACATAAATCAGGTAATAGAAAAACATCTATAATTATACCGGAATTAAAATTTATGTTATACATAATTGTTTTAATGCAATAAACGAATTTGATGCTTGGAATTTTATTTAATGTTTCAGATTCTAAATCAGATATGCAATTAAAATCTGCTGATCAATCTCTTGGTATGTGTTACAACTTGGTATATATCATTAATTCTATGAATAATTCGAATACTAATTAAAATGCTATGAAAATATTAATAGTGAAAAATTCCTGAATACAGAATAGTTCCATTAATTTTTCCATACTGTAAGAAAAGAGAAAACTAGAAGTAAACATATTCAGCAATTGGATCACATATTGTTTCAAAGTCTTCACTATATGTCTTCACTAAGAATAATTCAATTCTTATCAATTTAATAGCTTATTTTTGGATTGAAAAAATTTTGCAGTTTGTTAAATTTTGTTTATATATTATTTTGTATATTATTTTTATGTGTCTATTAATAATGTATGTATAAATGTATTAGGTCTGACTAATATGGTGATAGAAGAACATAAAAATTTGACATATGATGCAGCTAATGGTGACAAAAAGCATAGATATATCAAAGCTAATTCTAGTAGTACATTATCCCTGGAAACAACACAGCGTTTAGTTTCAGAAATTAGACCAACATTCTGCATGGAAAAGGGTAAATTAATGCGGGTTTATTCATGTTCTTGGTGCCTTCGTAATTTTACACGCAGAGAAAATTTGAAATTACATATTCGTTATATTCATGGTCCACTTGAAAGTCTTACATGTAAGCTTTGTGGCAATAAATATAAAAACAGCAATAGCTTGCGTGTACACTCTTACCTTTATCATAATGCTAAACGGGATAAACATAATAAATCACTTGTCAATAATAGTAATTAGAAATAGACAAGATTACAACTATTTTTATATACTACAATAATAATAATAATTCTTAGGATATTACAAGATTAGTTATTAGAAATTGTTACAATAGTTATTTAAACAACTTATTATATAGCTTTATAAATAATTCATGACTATCCATATTTAATAAGTTACATCTAATAATGATAAATTTATATAAATAAAATCTGATGTATATTTCTTGACTTTCATTTACTGATTTCTTGACTACTACTATCATAAAAATTCAGTTGTTTTAATGTTTCTTCAAAGATATTTTATAATTTGAATTACACTATAATAACTTTAAAGAAAATAAATTATTACACATTTTCACAAACACATTTTTAAATTACAATTTTATTAAAAATATTAGTATTTATCTTTTAATATAATTCATATTAGTATTATGCAGAGAAAAAACATTGTTATGAAATTATATAAGTACATAAATTGTTTATCCAAATAAAAATTGGGTTATTTGTTTCATCTCGTATATATGAATGTATCTAAATCATTTGCAAAAGTCGATATCGATCAATTATGCGCGCGCACTATGTATGTGAGTATATATTGGTATTGGTAGAGTATCAATCGGAGCATATGACAGTATACGATGAAATCACTGACATGCATCATAACCTCCATGATATTATGTTTACAAAGTGTACTCGGGGTTAAATAATAGTGTTTATTTAATTATTATAAACTTCAAGCATTGTATTATATATAAACTTAAAAAGAAATGAGTGATTCTGAGGACGAAAATTATGCAACTTTTGGTATACCTTTGGAACCTTTAGATGAAGGTATTATAAATGATTTTAATTTTTTATATATCGGATGTTTATATCTTGAATTTTGAATGAATTTTACAGAAAATTTACCAAGGAAAAAAGCTGTGACAGTAGAAGATCAATATGCATATGACGCGCAAGGTAGACGTAGATTTCATGGTGCTTTCACCGGTGGTTTTTCTGCGGGATATTTTAATACTGTTGGAACGCGTGATGGATGGAAACCACAACAGTTTAAATCCTCAAGAGGTAGTAAAGCAAAAACAATCGAACAACAACCAGAAGATTTTATGGATGAAGAAGATGTAAGCATATTTGGCATAGCACCGAAAGGTATTAGAGCCAATAGTGACTACGAGTATCATGGACAAAAAGGTACAAAACGAGGAAGAACTGAAATAATTAATAATCGATCTCTGTCATATAATCCTGTATTAAAAGAACTTTTGAGGCCTGTCAGGTAAGTGGTTATTAAAATTAATTATAATTATACATAAAATATATAAATAAAACAAAACCATTGTATAAACGTTATTATTTCAATATGATATAAAAATTATAGAGAAACAGTTGGTATTGCTCTTCTGAAAAAAATGGGTTGGAAACCAGGACAAGGAATAGGAAATAGGATTACAAAGAAAGAGAAGATTAAAGCAAAACAACAGATTGAAAGAATTAAAGTATATGGCTGTTCCTTACCTAAAAATGAAGAAAAAGAAATTGATAGTAATATTGATTCTGACGATGAAACACCTAATATTACATTTGCTCCTGATGATTATGAGCCTTTTAAGTAAATATAATTTTATAGTTATAATTATATTTATTTTTTACCGATTTTATTATTTTAAACTTTTATATTTTATAGATCTAAGGGAAAAGATAATTACTTTGGTATTGGATATAGTGGGTTAAATAGACAAAATATATTATCTAATCAAATTAACGAAGAATATAATTATCAAAGCAATAATAAAATCCTTCCAATATTTGGACATGCATTTGGAGTTGGTGCTTTTGAAGCAGATGATGAGGATATATATGAAAGAGAAGATATGTCCCGATATGATTCTGTACTGGGACCAGAACGCAAAAGTAAAACAAGATGGTCGAAGGATAATATTTCAAATGACAATGGAAGCAATTGTATAGAAGGATTTGTACAAGCAAAAGATAAATTAAATTATAGAAAGACTTTTGCATTGCCTTGTCTTCCAAAAAACTATTGCGCAATTCATATTACCAGGAAAAGTAGATTTTTCCCACCTATCCCACATCAATCAATTAATGAGAAGAAAAAGAGCCTTAATGTTATAAAAAGAGCTAAAATCTTGCAAGACGTTAATTTCACTGATACAGCAATTCAAGGAAAACTTGACACAACTGCAAAAACATTAAATTCTACAATTTCTATGCCTATTGATAATTCAATATCAGAACCATTGAATTCATCAGAAAATCAAAAGGCAAAAAATAGTGAAAAAGTAGTTGAAAAACCAAAAACACAAGTAAATAGTATGTGGATGGGCAAATTAAATACAAAAACATTTGTCAGTGGTGGTGTCACAGGTACAGAACAAATCACTTCTGGATTATTAAATATACCAACACATTTAAATAGCTCTTCTTCATTCGCCAATGTAGAATCAGTTAATAACCAAATTTATAAAAGTCCAGTTTTAACTGATCAAAATAAACAAGAACGATTTGAACACGAACTTACTTGTTTAAAAACTAATGATAAACATAAATCTGATAGCATACAATCACTTTCCACGATTAAATCAGACAAAGATTTAGATCTTGTTGAATTTAAAAAAGCAACTAAATCAATTGAACAAGAATCAAGTAATGATAATGATATAAATAACTCAAATAAATATATAATAAATATAACTGATAGTTTAGAAAAACAAAAAGATGAAGCTGCCAAGATGGAAATGTTTGGAAAACTAACTCGAGAGATAAATGAATGGCAACCTGCAGGTATTGTATGTAAAAGATTTAATATTCCTGAACCACGAAATAGTTGTATACAAACTAAAATAGAGAAGAAACCGAGGTTTTCAGTATTTAATTCATTAGATTTAGATGTATCCTCCAGATTTTTAAAAGTAACTGACACAATTGGCAAAGACATAGATAATAAGGCATCTACCTCATATAAAGATGAATTCATAAAAGATAATGCACTTCCTTCTTCCACGTACTATAAGACTTCTGTTGAAAATCAGGAACCAGAAATAATGTCAGAAAAAATGAAAAATTTTGAAGCTTCATATGAAAAAATATTTGGCAAAACAGTCCATGAGGTACCTTCAACAAAATTATTGAAATGCAATACTGAACAAGAATTTCTTAATGAAGAAAATAATATGCTAAATATAGAACAACATCAAATTTTGGCAGACATTGAAAAATCTCAACACAAAGAGACTAGTATAACTCATAAAAAGAATTCAGAAGAAAAAAAAGATCTTTTTAGAGCAATTTTTCTCAGTAGTAGTGAAGAATCAGAAACAGAGATAGAAGAAAATATCGATAACGAAGTTGTAAAGTCAGTGTTGATTGGTGATTCTTCGAATGATGTTAATATATCAAGAAATATGTCACCACCTAGAGGCATTTTTGCCAAATTGGATCTTGAGGACCTTGTAAAAAAGACACATGTCAGTACAGAAGATATTGAGAGTAATATCAAAGAAAAAGGAACGAGTTTGCAATTAGAACCACAGACTATCATTGAACAAAATTACGAAATTAATACCTGTGATACGCTACAAATGCCATTACCGGAGAAAGTATATGGACCGATGCTTCCTTCAAGATTGATCAAAGATGGAAATATTTTGACAGATTCTACTGGAAGTACAGAATTTTCAAGGCCTATTTGTAAAAGCGTCATAGTACCAAAAGTCGTAGAAGATTTTCAAGGAAAGTGGGTGGAATTACATAAAACAAAGAAATTAAAAAAAGTTAAAAAGAAACATAAACATAAAGAACATAAAAGTTCAAAAAGTAAGCGAAAATCCAAAAAGCATAAACGTTAATTAAATGACCTTTAGAGAGTTAAAGGTTTCTTAGCTTTTATCTTTTTTTTATGTGTTATATTTTAGATTTAAATATTACATGAATATTTGTTATGTAGAATACATCAGTTTTTTCATAAAGTTGAATATTATCAATGTATATCTAGAAAATGAAACAACTTTATATTATTTAGAAATAAAAAAATAATATAACTGATCATAAAATTTAATTTAATGAATATAATACAATACATTTTTCTATTGAATGATGAAGCTTTCTTAAATAGTAACAAAAAGGTTGTTAAAAATAATTAAATAATTTTCTATCTTTATAATAAAGGTATATATTGCTTTTGATGTAATTTAAGAGAGTTTAAGTACAATATTGTATAAAATTTTGGCCTCTTTTTACATTAAATGTTTTAATGTAAAATAAATAACGATAAATTTAATTGAACATTTTTTTTTACTGTTTTCAGATATCTTAAGATATGAAAACGATTAACAACTCAAATTTATTTAATCCTAATTTTAATTTATTTACCTAACTATCGTATCATATAGCATTGCTGATACTATGCTTCTATTTTTATGTGTTTTGAATAACCCGCGTGTTCGCTCTAGTTTGTATTTATCTTTACAGAGGCGCATGAATTTGTCAATAGTTTTAAGATAGAGAATCTATACTAAATTTCCGTTGTTCAACGACAATGAATGGGCGCTATATAAAAGATTGCTGTTATGTACAATATATATCATTTTAAATTGTTTTAGGAAGGGTTGGAATAATTGGTATTAAAAACTAAATCTTTCATGTATATTTACAAACTAATACAACAGGTGTTAAATATTTCAAAAATAAAGTACTCGAATTATAAAGGTTAGATTTATCTTATGATGTATCAAAAAATGAATCTCGAAACAGAATATTTATCGGAAGAACATTTGACTGGTTTTGAAAATTATAAAGTAAGTGATTATTTTCTATAACTATTTTTTTTGTATCTTTTTATACGCTTTCAATAAACACAATATTACAAATTAAAACAGTAAATCAATATAAAAAAAACAAATATAGTTATGATTAATAAACATAACTGAAATAAATAAAAATATATTTATGCGTAATTATTTTTATTGTTTTATTAATTCATTAGATTTTATAATTTGAGATTTGTAATTGTACATCTTCATATTAATATATATATATTTACATTTGTTTTTATTTTTTTTTCTTTTTTTTTTTTTTCTTTTTTTTTTTTTAGTATAGCTCATTGGATACAAGTCCCCTTAGTGTGTATGTTATGCATCCATTTTGGAATAAAGTTGTTGAGGTATAAATTTTGTATTACTTTTATATAATCATATTTAC